AGGATATCAGTTATTTCTTAAAAGGGTCATTTCATCTTTTATCTGCTGTATCATTTTATTGTATTCCTTAGAATTTTTGGATTGGATTTCAACTTTCTCCTGAATCTTGATGATCTTCATTCCTGTCCACATTCTGATTCTATTTCTGTCATTTCAGCCATTCAGACTGGTTAAGAACCATTGCTGGGGAACTAGTGCAGTCATTTGGAGGTAAGAAGACTTCTGGCTTTTTGAGTTGCCAGAGTTCTTGCGCTGGTTCTTTCTCATCTTTGTGGGCTGATGTTCCTTCAGTCTTTGAAGTTGCTATTTTTTAGATGTTTTTTTTTGTTTTTGTTTGCTTTTATTTTCTTTGATGTTGTTTGGTGTTTGATTATGCTATAAGGAGGGTTTGATCAACTGGCTTCATTTCTGGTTGATTTTAGGGGGCCAATGCTCAGCTCAACACTCCTGAGCTGTGTCCTTTAACTATGGGGGGGCTGGTTTTGGGCTCCCTGCTTTCTTCTCTGGCTCCTCAGGGCTGGGAACCTACTGCCCTGAAGGGGCTGAAGTGTTCCTGGACCACTGATCACAACACTCTGATAGGCGGTGCCAGCCAAAGAGCTTCGTTGGGTGGAGGAAGTGAGATCTGTGCTCACTTGCACATGCCAGAAACAGCAACAGTGTGATGAGGTGCATGATCATCAGCTAGAGTGGAGCACTGGTGGGCCAGGGGGTTCCAGCCTCCATGCAGGCATTTGCAGGTGGCAGTAGTAGTGGGTGGGGTGGGGCACTGGCAGGTGTGGGGGATGTTGGTCTCCATGTGTGCATTCACACTGGAGGCAATGGCAGCATAGGGCAGGGAGTGGAGCTGCTGCTCTTCATTTGTGTACTAGCACTAGCAGTGGTGGTATAGTGGTGTGAATGGGGGCAGGTTGCACTCATGCTGGTAGCAGTGGCACAGTGGGTTGTAGATATGTGCCAGCAGGGAAGGGCACGCAAGGTTTGCTGGCACACACACACTGGCAAAATGATGAGATGGTGGCCTTGGATGAATGCACGCCGGCAAAGCAGCACAGAGGATGCTGCAGTGGTGGGAGGGTGCAGGTGGGCTGACGCGCCTTGGCAGGGGCCTCTGTGCTGGAGCTCTTTGATTGTCAGGCACAGTCTGCAGGCACAGGAGCTATTATGCATGTCCCTGAGAGACCCCAGTTGGGCAACTATGGCTGCACTGGCTACCCTGGGGCCCCAGGAGAGGCCAGCAGGCAGGTGTTACTCAGATCATACTGGCCCTGCTCTGTTCAGGTCTGACAATTCCCCTAAGGGTAAAGTTTCCTAAGGGAGCATGGGAAACCTTGGAGGATGGACATTCCTGGTCACACTCCACTGCAGACATTGCTGCACCAAACCCTCTGTGCTCCACACTGGCTGGAGTCCTGCCCCTACTACCTCTCCAAGCAACTATCCCTTCCAGCTTAGGTTTCTGTGGGAGACGTGTGGTCTCCTGCTGCCAGGATTCTATAAGTCCATGGTGAAAGTAGGTCATTCCTTGCCTGCTCGACTCACTGCTACCCCAGGAGTCACTGAGGGCCAAGAGCTAGTCCTGGTGTATGATAGCTCCATACAGGGTTTCCAGCTTCCTCCCGCTTAAGCCCAGTATCTGTGTCCTCCCTCTATCCATTTGCAATGCCTTTTTTTTGTTGTTGTTTTTTTGAAGATCTGCTTAGAGTGTGCCAGTCTTCCTGATGTCCTGGTCCCTTAGTGGCAGATAATCCTCCTGGCTGTGTCTACTCAGCTATCTTGCCTGGAGAATCCTGTTTGTTTTGATCTTTGGCTTTTGTATTAGAAAGATTGCTTTATTTTCTGATTACTTTTACCTTTCCATTTACTATTAAAAGTGAGAAACATAAAAGCTACCTGGAAGTGCTAAGCTCATGCATAAAGCTTATTGGCTTCAAGATTCCATGTGGGGGAACTGGGTAAACTGTTTCTTGGGAATGATGAGTCAGTGCTGTCTATAGACCTATGGGAGAGGTGCTTCAGCTTTAGATGTCCTGGATATGTTCCGTTTCTGGCTTTGCCCTGCTTCATGGCATGATGTGTCTAAAGTGCTAAGGAAAAGCTCCTCACAATTAATAGCTAAGTATTTCTCAATCAAAGGCAGTTACTCTTACTTTGCTCCTTGAAGAACAAGCAAAGTTGTTGATTTCATACCTATGGTAGAGATTAATGACATGTCTTTGAAAACTTCTTTTTAGCTATTCCTCTTCATTCCATCTCTTGAATATACAGTCTCTAATTGTAGTTTAAAATGTCTGCTACCAAGTACACTTAGTTTATACTTGGATAAGACTAACTCCAAGGACTGATAATAGAAAGAAATCAGAGGTGTTCATGGACTACAATGCAGCCATAGAAAATGATGAGTTCATGTCCTTTGTAAGGACATGGATGAATCTGGAAACCATCATTCTCAGCAAACTGACACAAGAACAGAAAATCAAACACCTCATGTTCTCACTCATAGGCGGGTGTTGAACAATAAGAACACATGGACACAGGGAGGGGAGCATCACACACTGAGGTCTGTGGGGTGCTAGGGGAGAGACAGCAGTGGGTGGGAAGGTTGGGGAGGGATAACATGGGAAAAAGTGCCAGATATAGGTGATGAGGGGATAGGGGCAGCAAACCACCTTGCCATGTATGTACCTGTGCAACAATCCTGCATGATCTGCACATGTACCTCAGAACCTAAAGTACAGTAAAAAGATTTAAAAATAGAACTATGATATAAAAAAAAATCAGAGGTGTTGATGAGATTCCTGCATATATATAAAATATATATCCTAAAATAAATGGATAAACATTGATTAAAATTGATTTTTCCATTTTTGCACATATGAAATTAAGAGGAAATATCATTAAGCAAGATTCCAGTGTGGACGCTCATGTTAATTATAGCTATATTCCATTTACAGATTTATTATCTAGTCAAAATTCTAACTTTTCCTCATCATTCCTCAAATATTAGAAATTCTTATTCTGCTCTTATCTTTGTGGGTCAATTTATTTCAGTCTTTATAATATGTCTAGCTGAAGATGAATTACTCTAATCACTATTTTTAGGGGATCTCCTTATTGAATTTTCCTCCCATTTCCTGCAAAGATGCATGATTGCCATGCTGAAAGCTTTCATCTTTTAAAAGAAGGGGAAAATATTCTCTTAGAATGATTATTACTCTCCCTCATAGGGTTCTTTATCCTCTACTGACTGTCTCTTGCTTACCTTGCTTCTTGTCTACCCTGGAAAGGTGACTTGCACCTGAAAAATTGATTTTCTCTTTTGCATCCAAACAGTTGTTAAGCCCATCTTCCTCCCTCTTTTTATGGCCATTAGTCGAATATCTACCATTTCTCTACTAGGCATTGGGGAAATGAAGGTAAACAATCCACTCTCACTGACAGGCTTCCATAGTTCCACAAAATAATGGATGCCTTAAAGATTTCTGTATGCAGGACTTTAGAAGCATAAAAGAATGGGGTGGTGAGATTGATTAGGTCTCCCTAGCGGAAAGCCATCTAGGGGGTAACAATGAGATACAAACTCTTTCTTTTTCTCTATACTACCTTTGCTCCTCTAGCTAAAACATCAAGTGAGGAGTCATGTCCTTCGGAGAGCCTAAAATCTACCTCCCAGACAAGAATTAGCTCCTCTTTCCTATAGTTTTCAAAGGACTAAGTTTATACATTTAATATGGCCCATGTTATACTTATTATTTTTTTGTTTATATATATGCCTTCTCTACTACTTGGAGATTCTTCAAAAAATTTTGTGCATTTAAAATGTATCTTATTCTGTGTATTATGCTTTTTTAAGGTCCTATTACTTTGTATTTCCAGACACATTTATTGATAACTTTAAATATACACTCAATGGGTGAATGATTGTATAAAATTCTTAGAGAACAGCACTGTCATATTATTTGCTTGCTAGTTTCCAGTTGGTTAATTCAAAGTTTTGAAAGTTTTATGTTAAATCATGGATTTAATAGTGTAACTATACTTATAAAATTAAAAATTCATAGATACTTTTTTTTAAGTTTTGGGAAGAAGACTATTTTTCAGTATTTCAGGACTCTTGTGATTATATCTGAAATAGGTTCTATACACTAAAGCCACTATCTGTGTTTGACACCTTATAAAATACCCTACTTAGGATTCGTACAAAATACAATATTTATAAAAATATACATATAAATATTTGTAAAATATTTATTGAAAAGGGCAAAATTTTATAGCATGATTACCACAGGTGATTACCACAATTTTATAGTTATGTACCTTATAAAATATCTTACTTAAGTCTTATTATTTCCTGAGGTCTGCTATTACCATACTTACACTGGCCATCTTTAAAATTAGTTGGATTTTTAAGCTTTGCCTTTTCTAGAAGCTGTTTGTTCTTTTTTTATTAATTTCTTTCTAAAATTTTATGCCTTTAGTTCTAGTGTTGGCCACCAGGTAGCAACAGTGCTTTGAGTAGCTCATCTCATAAATAGGAAACTATCGTAGACTGACAAAAAAATGAAGTTCTCTGCATTCAGGAAGGAAGGGAATAAGTGTCCAGAATCCTCAATTTTTAATTCCTCCCTGTCACTGTGTCCTCATGTTGTCTATTGCAAATGCAAGCATAAATTATCAACTGGCCATGAGCAGCCTCCCTGTTCTGCCAATCCATTGTTACTGTGACAGTTCAGTTCATCTCAGGGCCACTGAAATACAGTGAGATGAGGGGCAGCTGGCAAGGGGCAGCATGGATCATGCTAGGAAAGTGTATGACAACTGAAAGCAAGAAGAGTGAAATCATTAAAAAAGTATAGGGAGAAAGTACATCCTTTTTATGAACATATCTAGAAAACACATAATATTTATGAGATTGCTTTTTAACCATGAGAAGCACATTTATGCTGATATAGAAAAATCAAATATGTTACTTTAGATTTTTCTTCTTCCTTCACCCTTAGCGATACCTCTGGGTATTCTAGTTGTGCGTGGAGACTGTGATTTGGAGACGTGCCGAATGTACATAGACCGCCTACAGGAGGTGAGTTTATTTAGTTAATTTCTTACTCTCCTCAACTTTCCATTTTTTTAAACAATTACCAGCCATATGTATTTGCTTCTGAAATGACGCGTTTGGAGAGGAAATTGAAATGTAGTGGCTTTGTCCTATAAGCACACACGGTATGTCACCCTCTCCCACCGTCTCTGCTGTTTCACTCCTCAGATGGTTGAAATGGGAAAGCATTGATTGGGTTAGCTACAGGGTGCTGTTGCCCTGTTATGTTCCATAACTATAACTTGGAACTTGTCGTCTTGCCAGACTACGTACCTGTATTTTTTGAACCATTCAGAATTTGAGCAAACACTGATAAATAATGAAAGAAAACAGTGATATTTAATGTTTTCTGTCTGACACTTAAGTCAGAGACAGCTAGACTTTGTAAACAAAAAAAGTAAAACTTCTGTGGGAAAGAAAAATCCTCTGCATTTCATGGAAATTTGTCAGAACACAGAATAATCTATATATATTTTTTCTCAGTCTGGTCCTGCTGTAGAGAAACAAAAAGGCAGTGACCCCAAATATGGCACTCCTATGAATTTGAACTGCACCAGCAAGGCCAGGGGACCAAAACTCATCATTACAATTGTTGTTGGTCATTTTTGCAAAATTTTGAGGGGGAATAGTAGCTATTCCCACTCCACAAATTGCAAAAAGCACAAATAACGATTTCTTTATCATTGTTTCTTGATGAAAGATGTATATTAGAGTCACTTTTCTTGGGTGGGACCTAGACATTTTTTAAAAATTTTTATTTATTTATTTATTTATTTATTTATTTCTGAGACAGAGTCTTGCACTGTCGCCTGGGCTGGAGTGCAGTGGCGTGATCTTGGCTCACTGCAACCTCTGCCTCCCAGGTTCAAGCGATTCTCCTGCCCCAGCGTCCCAAGTAGCTGGAATTACAGACCACCACCACTATACCTGGCTATTTTTTGTCTTTTTAATAGAGAGAGGGTTTCACTATATTGGCCAGGTTGGTCTCAAATGCCTGACCTTGTGATCTACCCACCTCGGCCTCCCAAAGTGCTGGGATTACAGGCAAGAGCCACTGGTGATCTGATACCCCTTGATGAAAGCAACTCTGTCCCAGACATGTTATATATAAGTAAATACTATAAATAAAGTAGATACATAGTGTTTCAAATTCCTCCAAGTTGTAACCACTTAGCCCTTAATATTTGTTTCTGTTTCTCTTGGTAGAAATAAATTCAGGTGGGAGGCACACAGGTGATATGAAAAATTGCTGATTTTGAGGAACAGATGACAAATTTTGAATACTGATATGAATGAGTAAAAGAGAGTCAACAAATTTTGTACTTATGGCTTTATTAAGCTATTTTGACTGAGGATAGCTGCTTAAACAAGTTAAAATGTATGAAGTTTTAGCATGTGACTCAGGTCCAATTCTATTAATATATTCCCAAACTTCTAGTATCTCATTTCTCAGAATAATGTTTGTATTTGACTGTGGAATCTCACTCTGGAAACTGTAATGAAACAAGTGAATCATAATTGGTACCAAAACTTTATACTTTTTAAAAAAAATTTAATACTTGCAGAGCTTTGTTAACAATACTTCACAGTAGAATAATATTAATACATGATTGCTGAATTGACTTTGTTGAAAACCAACTTAACTAATTTAATAGTATGTTTATTGCACCAATATTCAACGAAAAGTAGGATTCTGAAAAAAGAGGCAACTCAACAAATAAAGAGGAAATGTTTTAAAACTAATAAAGAAGAAGTTGATGAAACCCTGTGGGAATCAGGTGTAAGGACAAAGGTACCAGGATTGCTGGCATCTGTAAATAGAATCACTACACTCATTAGCAAGGGAGCCTGGGAGACATGACAGTGGTGACAACTTCGTTATAAAACTCTATAAAAGGAGTCAGGCTTTCACAATCCTCCAGTAAAACCTCATTAATTTCAACCCTGTTAATTTGCACTTCGTGATAATGTGGAAGTGGTTGATTTTTTCTTTGTAGCCTATGAAAACCCCTGTTTGCTATGTAACTTATTGATGTAAACAGTTACCATGACAGTATGTATCTGGTCTAAGAGAAAGAAAAGGTTTCTAAATGTTTAAAGGGATTTCAGAAGCCTTCTTTGCTGAAAGTTCATATGTAAATAAAATATAATCCCCATTTATTAGAACAAAATTGACTATCCTTTCCTTTTGGTCTCCTCCATAGGAGACTGAAATAATAAATTATCACTTACCTCTAAACACTACTTAAGATTTATAGGTTTCAATAGCTTAATGACCTTCTCTCCATCCAGCTGGGTTTGCTTTCATTATTTCTGGCATTGCCTTCTTTATTTAACCTTTATGAATTCGGGTGTGTTAGATACTTCCAGATGAGAATAATAATATGAAGTTGGGAGTTAAGTTGAGATGAAGTTGTGGGGCAACTTGTTGAAACTAATTTTAAGGTATGGGGTTTTTTTTTGTTTATTTTTTCCATTTTCTCATTAGGACCTACAGTCAGTTTCTTCTGGCTCCCAGAGAGTTCATTACCAGGTAAGAAATAATTGACTTTCCTTGTTTCTTACCTTCTGGCCAAATGAAGTCTATTTTTCAATTAATGTCTTATTTTGATTTAGAGTTCCCATCTTCCCTAGGGATAGGAGTTCATTCTAAGAACCTAGTGGAAATGGTATTCTGATTGGTTTACGTTTTCCTGATTTTAGACCAGGCTTATCTAACACAAATTTAGACTGTGGATTTTCTCCTAGATCATTTAGAAAAGATTATAAAATTGAGTGCTTTCAGTAACAAATACCAGAAAACTCAGCAGCAGCTAGCTTAGCAGGGAAAGGGTCTCTTGGTTCACGAAAACAAAAAGTCCAGATCAAGGTGGATTTCTCATCCCATTTGGTCACAGCTCACACTCCACTTTCCTGCTGGTCTTTCTGCTTTGTTCTCCTCTTCCTGTCCATTTTACCTCTGGGCTAGATGATTTTGTGGTCCAGGATGGCTGCCACTAGCAACCAGGGCTGTATTTGTTTTTCTCTTCACCTCCAGAAAAGGGATTCCCTGCTTCCCATAACCATCAAGCAGAAGTTTAAAAATACAATCGGAGTGGTTCATCCTGGTCTTTTGGGTGATCCAAAGCCCAGTCTGCCTTTCTCTATGGCTCATGTAAAGTCCGTGGGAGAATACTCAGTTATTCTTTGTCGCAGCAGACTTTGGGGGTGCCGCTTCTTTCTAGCTTCCTCATCCCACTTGTGATGCACAGACCTCTTCAGCCATCCTCTTGCCCAATAAATGGTTCAGACATGATGTAGATCCTAGTACACAGTATTACTTCAAACTACAAGGAGCCTAAACAAAGCTCTCTGACTGGTCTCATTAAAGCCCTTTTATCTGAGAGCCTCCTTACCCTGCCTTGTTAGGAGGAAAGGTATGTGGGAATCACAGCATGCCAACAACTCTCTCCAAGTAAGTCCCTTCAAACCCTTTATACTTCCATGTGGGGAGAAATTTAACTACGTCTAAATTTATAAATGTGTAAATCCTGGTTTAGCACTTTACTTTGGATTTTGGTGTCTATCTTCCTATGCCTAAAATATCCAATTTAACATCCTTTAGCCTAAATAGAAAATAATTTAAAGAGCAACCTATACCTTGTAGCCTTCTAGGTAGCTTTCTTCTCCCCGCCAATGATACCATCGACCCTTGGCTGAAGCAGCTTTTTTATCTTCAGCCTTAATGACAGGAATTGCCTTTGTGTTCTTATTTGTTTGTGTGTTTATTTCTCAAACAATACATCCCATGCTTCCAGAGTTCTTTCTTCCATCTGCCTGGCCTTGAAAGGAAGAGAAGTCACTTGGGATATGTTTACATTAACAACAAAACAAAACAAAATGAACTTCTTCTAGACTGTTTTTGCCAACCATTAGAAGACAAATTTCCACCTTATTTTTTAGGTAGAGCACAACTCAACTTTCATCAGCGTGACTATTTCCATATTTACCCAGAGCCACTATCTAGGTATAAATTTTATTTTTAAAAGCATAGTGCTTTCACAATAGCAAAGACATGGAATCAACCCAAATGCCCATCAACGATAGACAGACAGGATAAAGAAAATGTGGTACCTATATACCATGGAATACTATGCAGCCATTAAAAAGGAATGAGATCATGTCCTTTGCACTAACTAGATGGAGCTGGAAGCCATTATCCTCAGCAAACTAATGCAGGAACCGACAACCAAACACCATGTGTTCTCACTTATAAGTAGTAGCTAAACAATGAGAACACATGGACACAGAGAGGGGAACAACACACACTGGTGCCTGTCAGTGGGTGGGGTGGGAAGGCAGTGGAAGGAGGGAGAGCATTAGGAAAAATAGCTAATACATGGTGGGCTTAATACCTAGGTGATGGGTGATAGGTGGAACAGACCACCATGGCATGCACATTTGTAACAAACCTCCACATCCTCTGCATGTACCCCAGAACTTAAAATAAAAATAGGGGAGCACTACACACTGGTGTCAGTTGGGGGGAAATAGGGAAGGGACAGTGGGGGGTGGGGAGCTGGGAAGAGGGAGAGAGCAAGGGGAGAGATGCCAGATGCAGGTGATGGGGAGGAAGGCAGCAAATCACACTGCCACATGTGTACCTATGCAACAATCTTGCGTGTTCTTCACATGTACCCCAAAACCTAAAATGCAATAAAATAAATGGGGAAGAAAAAATAAAAAAATAAATAAATAAAAATTTTAAAAAAGCATAGGGCTTTTAAAGGTAAGAGGTGATCTCTAACAATTGGCAGTATTAGTTATAAGACTGAGTATATATGTTTTTTTAAGGGTTTATATTTTTTATTCCGGGACATTTTTAACCTTTACAATTGTATCAAAATATGTTAGATTTATCCTAGCTAGGTTAATGAAATCACATTTACTTATTATTCCTGGCTTAGGCAATGTAGTCATTTTGGTGTGAGAGTTTGAATTGTGGGCATTTTGTACCATATTTTTTATGCAATATCTGTAAATATCCCTGGAGACCAATGGATGGATAAGAGAGTACAATATGATTGAGTTATTTATTTCATGTATTGTTTGGTAATAAAACACTCAGAAGGATTAATGATATTTTTCTGATGATGTCAAAATATTGCTGCATTTTTTTTCTGTTTACTTACAGTCAAGTCAAATCTTGGTATCAAAACTGCTGCATTATAAATGTCACATCAAAAGGTTTTGTGCATTGAACATCTATCATGGATGAGTGTCAGGCGTGTCACCTTTTCCCATATCCTTCCTTAGGACAATGAAGGAGGGAGCTGAGTGATAAAAAGCAGTCGCCTTTGAGCATTAAGGAATGGTTGAAACAAAAATGATGCAAGAAGCCCAGAATTTGCTCATTAAGCAGGAAAGAGAAAGATACTGTGTTAGAATTAACATGGCCAGAGCACAGGGAGAAGGCAATGAGGAATTTCCTGAGCAGGGCAAGGAGAGCTGATTGAAGGAAGAAGCTGGGAGAGATAAACTTTCATGTTTGGCTAAGCTCATCAAAGGAAGAATGAGTTGGAGGCACAAGAAATAGAGTTCTGTGTTAGCCATATTAATTTTGATATGCCTATTAGATCCAAGAGGGTTGGTGAGTAGGCAGTTGGGTAGATGAATATTAAACCTGGTTAAAAAATTCAGTCCCAGAGATAGAAATTTTGGAGTTGTCAGCAAATAGATGGATGGTGCTTAAAACTACAAGGCCGGTAGAGATCTCTTAGGGAGGAGTTCAGTTAAAGAGGAGGGCCCAATGTTGTATCTGTATTTATTCATGAGTCAAGAAGAGCACAGGTGCAAGAGAGCAATTGGTCAAGAAGAATCATGGAAACTGAGATGAACAGCAGGGAGGCTGGAAATCAAGTAGAAGGTGGTATTACTTAAGCCAAGAGTGAAATGTGTTTCAGAGAGGAAGGAGTAATGGAATGTGTCAAATGCCAGTGAGAGGCTGAAAAGGCATAGATTGATTTCTGTATTTTTTCTAGGGGTGTATACTATAAAAGACATGTGATATAGGTGCTGTTAATTTTTATGGAGAAAGTGACTGGCAGGAAATTTAATACTAAATCTTTCACTTCTTAGTGCAGAAACTGATTACATCAGAATTCTCTAGTTTGTCCCAGGGAGAGTAGGGAGTTTTATAGGTGAAAAAGTTCTAAGAAACATGAACAACTAGATGTCTTAAATGCCTTTTAATGAAATTTCTTGTCTATGAGATGGCATTAAATATACTTGGAGAGTTAACTGTGAAGAGAATAAATAAATACGAGTATGTTTAAAAACTTGAGAAATTCCTGTCAGCTCACTAATTTGCAGCTAGGATTTTAGCTGACTGTTTTCTAAGACCAGAAAAAACTCAAGAGAAAAGCAACATTTAGAAAGGTGTACATGTGCCCAAGATGTCTTATTAGTGAGCCATATGGCAGCTTCTCGCCACTTAAGCATTTCATTGGTTTGGTTTCTTCCTTTTCCAAATTCATAGTGAATTGCCAACAAAGCACTGAAGCTCAAAAATGACACCTCATATTAACCTAACAAGGCATTATGGGTTATACAAGAATGTGTTAGATATTTATAGCTTGTTGAAAATTCCTGCCTACACCATCTCTGAGGTTAAAATACAAAGGCCCCTCCATCCTAATAGCATCGATGTAACCATAACTAACACATTTTACAAGTAAAATGCATTGCACATGCAGATTCAGGATATTCTTGAGATTGGCAAATGAACAAGAATTCACATAAGAATTGGACCCTGCTTGCTAATTTGATAAAGATGGTTTATGAGGCCACCTACTTTGAGATGATTCCATCTCTGCTTTTTCCCTTGAAATCATGATATCCTTTCTTAACCCCAAATCACAAGGGTACTAAGGAATAGAGGCAGATGCGCCCATTCTAGTGATTTTTGGAAGATTTTGCTCCCTGTGGGGGACATTTGGCAATGTCTGAAGACTTTGAAATATATTGGATAAAGGCCAAGGAGGCTGCTAAATGTCTTGTCATGCACAGAGAAGCCTCCTACCACAAAGAATTATCCAGCTCCAAATGTCAATAGTGTAGAACTTGTGGAACCCCGAGTCACTCTGATGGTTCTCAGTATATAAATGAGAACCCCAGATAGATATAAGACCTAGATGAGGAAAGGGAAAGGGGAAAGAAAGAAGAGGAGCAAAAGAGAAAGTAAGGATGAAAAATAGAAGGAGGCATTTATAGATGTGGTAGGGTAGAATAAAGAGAGAAACAGGAGCAAATAGAGGATTTTTTGTAGACACCCTGGGTTGGTTTTCTTGTTTCCCCAGGGTATTGCTCTATGGGGCACTAAATGGTAGGAATTATAACTTGAGATGTTAGTGAATACCGTAGGATTCACCTGTAGGTGCAAAAATGGATTCAGTCAAGTGACGCCTTTCTCTAAGAATTAATTTACTTAAAAATGGTACCAGAGATAACATTATTGAAAAGCCTTTTGATTCTTCAGGGTGGTACAAACATCTT